GCGGACCTCTGGTCGCTCGGTTGCATCATCTACGAGCTGCTGATCGGGACGCCGCCCTTCTCCACCAACTCCATTCTGCACCTGATCCGCAAGATCAAGACGGAGGCGATCAAGTGGCCGAACTTCCTCTCGCCCAACTGCATCTCCTTCCTCAAGGTAGGCGCCGATCGCCCGTTGAGGGGCCCAGTCTTAACCGGGGGGGCGCGTGTTTCAGGGGCTGCTGCAGAAAAAGCCCTCGAAACGCATGAGCTGGAGCCAGATTCTCAGCCATCCGTTCGTCAAGGGGCACGTGCTGATCACAAAGTCCAGCGTGCCGATGCCGCTGACGTCTTCGCCCTCCAGCAGCGCGCAGGAGGCGAAGGAGCAGCAGATCCAGGAAACGATCACGCAAAAGGGGGCGATCGCCAAGGCGCGCCAGCACGACGACCGCGTCCTCACCAAAAGTTTCAAGGAAAAGCTGAACTTCATCGAGGACAATCAGCCGATCGAGCCGGAGGAGTGGACGGTGTTCCTGCACAGGTCGATCAAGGAGCTGATGAGGGCCGAAATGTCGTCGCTGCTGCAGCCCAACTTGACCAACATCATAGTTTCGCCGCTGCGCAACACGAATCTGAACAGCAAAGTGCTCAGCTGCGTCGCCAAGCTGCTCTCGATCGGGCTGATGGTGAAGGGCACCGCCCCCGAGACTGTGGAGCAGATCAAACAGGTATTTATTCGCACTKGAARCAGCAGTTTCGTCAGCCAGTTTGGGCACTGAAAGGTCGGCAAAAAAATCAGCAACTGAACSCAAAAGACACTAGGGAAGCTGAAAATCGGCAGAAAAAATCAGGTTTCACCATCCRAATCCCCCAAAGACCATATAAATACATGACGTTTGTCCCATCAATGGGAAATCCSAGAARCCMCATTTTTCGAAGAATAGGATTTTTCGAAAAAATGCGCAATATTTGAACAGATTTTTTTGAAATTTGGTCCATAAATGGGCAATTCGGGACGCCACATTTTTGGTAGAGTGACGTTTTACGAAAAAATGTGCAGTTTTTCAAAAATTTTCAAAATTGCTCTCAGAGTCAGTTTTTTGGTTTTTTTACTCGGTTTTTAAACAATRKMGCGATTTTTTWKAAATTTGGCCCWGCARTGGGAAATCGGAGAAGCCACATTTTTAGCCGAATGGGTTTTTTCGAAAAAATGTGCAGTTTTGGAAAATTTTCAAAATTGCTCTTTCGGAGTCAGTTTTTTACATTTTTCAGCGAGAACGCACGCACAGATTTTTTTGAAATTTGGTCCATAAATGGGCAAGAGACGCTACAGTTTTGGTAGTGGCGTTTTTCGAAAAAATCAGCAGTTTTTGGAAAATTTTCAAAATTGCTCCCCCCGAGTCAGTTTTTTGGTTTTTTTACTCGGAAACAATGGAGCGATTTTTTGGAAATTTGGCCCAGCAGTGGGAAATCGGAGAAGCCACATTTTTAGCCGAATGGGTTTTTTTCGAAAAAATGTGCAGTTTTGGAAAATTTTCTAAATTGCTCTTTCAGTCAGTTTTTTACATTTTTCAGCGAGAACGCACGGACAGATTTGTTTGGAATTTGGTTTATAAATGGAAAAAAGGAAAAAAAATAAGGTTTCACCATCCAAATCCCCCAAAAACCATATAAATACGCTCGACTCGAGTGAACGCATTTCAAGCGATTTCAGCTGATTTCAAGTTTCTCGAAGTTCTCGAAAAAAACCCAAAATTGGGTGAAAAATCCATGCTTTTCCCGCAACATTTGCGCTATTGGGTCGAAAATCTGTTTGACAAAGTGCATTGTAAGCAATTATTTCAACTGATTTCACAAAAAATCACCAAAAAAAACAAGTTATTGTATATTGCAAGTATCCATTTCAAGCGATTTTCACCGATTTCAAGCGATTCAGCCGAATTGCAGATATTTCAAGCGATTTTAAACGCCTCGAATGCGGCTTCCAAGAGCCAAGGTTCGAACAGTTTTCTCAAAACTCCCAAATTGGGTGAAAAGTGCATGTTTTCCCGGCAAAAACTGCAATTATTTCAACCGATTTCAAGTGCCAAAATGAGAAAACGTGTCTAAATGAGTTAAAACACCGTGAAAACGGTATTTTTTTCCATGAAATATCGCCAAAAAATCAATTGAGAAGTGAATACTGCAAGTATCAATTTCAAGCGATTTTGACTGATTTCAAGCGATTCAGCCGAATTGCAGATATTTCAAGCGATTTCAAGGGC